ACTTCAACTTTACATGTCTCTTTCCACATCACTGGAAGGCCACCTCCTTTTCCAATGGGTTCAACCGTTCTGAGAAAATGGTAACCCAAATCTGTTGCTAAACATTCGATATAAATCCTTTTTTTTGTCTCACTGAGGAATAAAATCTCGGGAGGATGCTGACCAAGCATTCCCTTTAGATGTCTAACTGTAGGGGTATATCCCACCCCCTCACAGTTCCAGCTGAGTATTCTCATATTGAGTTTGAAGGATTGGAACTGTCCATCAACCCTTCTTCCAAGATTTTTCCGCTGGCCAATACTATCCTACGGACAGAATGGGATTGGCAAGAAGCTGCTACAAAATCATAATGAAAATGAGGTAACCGAAGATACTTGAGAAGCCACTGAGATTTTGCCGCTGGCCAATACTATCCTACGGACAGAAGATACTTGAGAAGCCACTGGGACTTAATGAGGTAACCGAGAAGCTCGTGTGCTCACTGGGAAGCCATCGGGGCTTAATGAGAGTCAAGAGTGTTTCTATTGGAGGTGTGAGAATCCACAAGGGCCTACTGGAAGCCTTCAACTCGCAGATCTGGGTTTTAATCGGATGGTAATTTTCAGTAATAATTGTGAAAAGGAAGCTATGTTGGCTTAATGGGTGCAGCTTGACCTTCTTCTTGTCTAGCTGAGTGAGATCTGGGGTTTACAGCTTCAGATCGAAGGAGATGAAGCAGATCTGGAATTTTCGAGAGGAACCCTAGCCGTCGCCATTTCTTCTAGTTTTTGTTTCATGTCCATGTGTCAGCTTAGAATTAACATGGGGCACACCCTTAGTTTGGAAATGCTTTTGTAAACTAGAAGAAATTAATGTGGCTAAAAATACATAAAGAAATAGATGTATACAACTATAAGGGTTAAAACAATACAAACACCTCGTAGCTTTCGAAAAAAAACATTGCTAATGCTACTTACTGTTGTTTTGTTATACCCTTTGCCAATGAGGATCACAATCTCGACAACCACCTTCACCTTATACAATTACACAAATAAGAAACTGGTGATAAAAATGGTGAAAAAAATGGTGTTATATTGTTTTTAATTCAAATTATCATTTATGATAAAAATGGTGTTAAATTTGTATATTTGACTAAAAAATTATTATCAATTAAATATAATATTTTGATGATGTAAATATATTTAAACTACATTTTATTTATTCAAAATACAATTTTACAAATTAAATCTACATTTTATTTATTTAAAAATACAATTTCAGAAATTCATAAAATTAAAATAAAAACTAAATGAAAATAGCCGCAGTGTTTGCTAACCAAACAGAACTAAATCTACTTCATGCGTCTGCGTCAGCGTTAATGTCCAGCGTCATAAAAAACGAACAACAAACTGCGGATGTGGCTGCGTCTGCAAAACGAACAACAACCAAATAAACAGACACAACTGCAGACGCATACTCAGACGCAGCCGCAGAAAGCTGCGGCTGCCAAACGAACAGCACTATAGAGGTTGTGTGGATGGGTGAAGAGATGTGGACGGGTGATGTGTGTACGAAAAATGTGTGTATGGGTGAGGTGTGGCTAGGTGAGGAGTGTACTGGTAAATCGTGAGATGGTTGGTCGTCTACTGATGTAATGGTATCTCTAGAGTGATTACAAGTGGTGTGTTTGGGGGGTGAAGTTGAGGAAGTTGAGCCGTATTATTGTGCACCATATTGGCTGACAATATGGTAGGGGTCATATTCATCCATAGGCATCGAGGCCTAGAAGAAGTAATGGAACATTACAGGAATCATTAAAACATCAGCACGGTAGGATAAATGGAAAACTTACAGTTTGGTCAGATAAATCCTGTGAGAAGTTTGGGTTAGAGGTTTGGTCTGACATCCCTTGTCTAAAGCTTGATGTAGAGGTTCAGTCTGACTGCCTATATGTGATTAGTAGCCTTTATTTGCCCGATCAAGTAGAGAGTGGAAGGAAGAGCGCTCCATTAATTGTAGTAGGAGCTTTCCTGCGTTTGATCAATAACCGCAACTGCTTTGACTCTCTTTCAAGGTTCGAGAGCCTGGCTAACATTTCCGACAGTATTTTCAGTACTTCATCTTTTGAGTTGCCGGTGATACCAACGGGAGGAAAATAGTTACTGATTCTTCTCTACTTACGGGACGATGAAACATTCCTTAAAGACTTTCTTGGTTTCAGGGCTTTGATTGAAGACTCTCTTAGTTTATGAGCTTTGCTTGAACCTGTTTTAGGCTTAAGAGATCTTTGCTGAAGGGTAGGTTGAACCACAACGGTTGAGAGGGTGCTGATGTGCTCAGAAGTGTCTCCACCAGGCCAAATGTGCTTATGGAACACATGATGATCAGATATAAGGTGCTCCATGTATAACACCCTTTCATCGTCACAGAGATCAGGCCAAACTCCATATCCAGGTTGTGGTTTACCCTCTATTGGTATCAACGATGTAACAGAAAGCTGAAATAGGACCATGGTAGAAATTAGGAATTAAAACTTCATTTAGAATGCAATGTTTGTCACTAAAAAGGCATGATAGAATATGAATTCTTACATTTGGATTAGCTTCCACGCGTAGTATATCAGTGTGGGTAGGTGCTAGGAAGGCAGGAAAATAATCATCGTCAATATTCATGATTGAAAAAGGCCCAACATGAAGTGGAATCGTTGACTGCAGTTTGGGAATTGTCTGATAAGCGAGAAGTTGTAGTGCAAGGGGGAATCCCTTTAGTGTGAAAGTTTCCTGCTTTAGCAGATGAATAAGTGTTGCGACTGGGTCTTCACATTTTACAGGGACAAACTACAGAGGTTTCATGCAAGAAATAGTCTACAAAAATGACTCTCTACGCTAAGGGTGTAAGCAGAAGGCATCAACGTCTTGGACCATTTTTACATACTTGAGAGTTGGCCATGGACTTTGTTGATGAGCGCTGAGGACACCATCAACAATAATTATCAAAGCAAGACGAAGCTTCTTTCAACCTGACATGTTTTGGTAAGTCTCTAGCATGTCACGTAAATCGGAAATGGTGGTGAATTTCTTCTTCCCAATCAGCTTGATCCAATCTGGATCTTTATGTGCTTTATTCGGGTCCTCCCAATCAGTGTTATATCCTACAGGAAAAGATCCACACGTCAAACCAGTGATAGTGCCAAACTCTTGGAGGCCGAACCTGATGGGATCGCTACCAAAAACGGAGCAGAGTGTGTGACGGTCTTCACAAACTAGTTGTCTAGAGAGTAAGGAGTGTATTAACTGACACGAAACTGGGCATTGACTAGCTGGAAAGTCAAATAACTTTCCAAAGCAGGAGTCTTTAATATACTGGAGCTCGTCTGCATGACGTAACACATGTCTGATGAAAGCTATAAGGTCTGGCTTGGAGTATATATTCAGGCGTCCCTTTGGGAACCTGTCGGTGGCGAAGAGCCTCGGTGGGAGACGACGGTCCGGTCGCTTGTTTCTTAACAAATCATGAAAAATGCGCAAATCAAAGTCTTGTGGTACAATATCAACTAGTTTTATCAACGCATAAACAAAAACGAAGTGAAATCAAAGTCATGGAAAAACAATAAAATAACTTCTGGATCTGAAGAACACTATCGAGATCGAAAGAAGTAAATGGCTGAATCGAAAACAAGCTTTAGAAAAACAAAACATGTATAGAGCGATTCAATCGAAACCAAAACTCCAGACTCAAAATCCAAAACCCAGAAACGAAAAAAATACAATAGGAAAATGAAGAACAAAAAAATTGAAGAAACAAACCTCCCATCGCTTGAAGACGAAGAAGGGGAGACGTGTTTCGGTGAGCTTCGTTCCGGAGAGGGTGAGGGGTGCGATTCGTTTCGATGAAAGCTTTACTACAACGGCGGTAGATAGTTGGGTAAGGAGTGAGAATAGAAACTAGGGCTACGACATAGAGAAAAGAAGAGTTGGTTTGATAGAGAATGACCGGTTTAGAGTGTTGGTTTGGTTTTCTACTCTCTCTTCAGACTGAAGATATTACCGACTTTCAATAACCACAAAGATTATCACATGTAGAATGTGGCTTGGGATGTAATTCCAAAGTCAAATTATGTCTGGGGAAGTAAAACAATTGTGATATAACTTCAGGTTCTCGGGTCAGAGAGGTATCAGGCGCCTATCGTATGCGTAGGGTATCAGATGTAGGTATAGGAAGATTGCATGCGATTATCGAAATGGTAACAGTTACAATACCATACGCCTAATTATACTCTTTACCTTGTATGTACGGTGCAAAATGCCAAATATAAGTATAATTTATATGTACAATTAGTTAAATATTAATTTTCTCTAGTTCGAGGGTTTTTGGCTTTACTGAAATCCAATTAGGTCAGATGTCTGATTCATGGTCACATTTGGTCGAAATTTCAGCCATGCAGTTTAGTTCAACCAAAAAGAAAACTATACTTACCATTGAAAAATGGAAATGTCTTCTAATCAAGTTTCTAAGGATGATAGTCAATCTAAAAAATAGAATAAAAGAATTCTAAAGAACAAATATACATTTTTTTTAACAACTGACAGTTATAAAACAAATTTCTGTTTTGAAATAAATGAAACTAAATAAATTATATTAATAGAATAATTAAACTTATATAACTGTAAAAAAAGCACATTTCATATTTGAGTTTGGCAAGAAAAAAAACGTTTTATATTTTATTAAACAAAAGAATAAAAACAACATATATAAATATTAAAATTTGTCTTAGATGGTACATTTCCTCATTTTACATTAATACGTCATCGCTTCTATTAATAAGTTTGAATTATATTGGAGACTGAACAAAAATCTCGAATACAACAACACTCTTTAATTCGTCAACACTAGGAAACCGAAGAGTCTTCCCAAATTAAGTCGGAATCCTTCTTAAATTTGCAAGAGTGAGTACTTGACTTCTTGTACACAAAACCGTAAAGCTTCACCACTCATAGAATCCAAACGCCAATCACACTACAATGGCAAATAACCTCAAGCACCCATCCCCATCTTCAAGCGCCGGTGAGAAAGAAATGGAGTATCTGCATACCATCTTTTCTTCAGAAGAAGATGAACCGGAAGATCCTCCACCGAGATCTGCTTCCACGAAGGATGTTTGTGGTTTCAGCGAGTCTCAGATGTCAGGGAGGAAGCGTCTCTCAACCAACGTGAGTTCCAAGCGTGCCAAGAAAATTTATACACAAGGTGGAAAGATGGGAACTAAAACACCATCTCATAGGAGACTGTTTAGTGAGAAAGATGAGATTGTTTTGTTAGAAGGTATAATTGATTTTAAAGGGAAGAATCCATTAGAAGCTAAGCGCAGTTTCTACCAATCCATTAAGGGTTCTCTTAGTCTTAGCTTTGATGTTACGTTAAAACAGTTGGAGGACAAGATTCGTTATATGAAAAAACTATATACAGCCAAAGCGAAGAGCGGTGAACAAGCTTCTGTTTTGAATCCTCATCAACAAAAGTGTTTTCAGTTATCAAAGGCTATTTGGGGAGCTGAAGGGGTAGCTTCTGATTCTCCCATTATTTCCAACAGCAAATCAAAGGAGAGTGAGAGGAGAACGACGGAGAAGATTGACTTGGTCACTTCACCTAAGGGTAAGAATGTTCAAGAAGTTAGGAGAAGAAGAGATATGGAGAAGTCACCATCTGTTGTGACAGAAACTGATTGTGATGAAAGTTCTTTTTTTCTAGGGATGGATTTTTTAAAAGAAAAATGGACCAAGGTGCCGACTGAGACTAAGAAGAAAACCCAAGAGAAGATGAAGAAGTTGCTTGCCGACGAACTTGAATGTCAAAAATTTGAAGAGATGTTGAAAGCTATGAAAGATAAATGTGCTCAAGAAAAGGTAGAGCTGTTGAATGAGGTTACCTCATTGATCATGGCAGCAGATTAGATCCAAATGATAGTTTACTGGGTTCTCTTTTTAGATGCAATGGCTCTATCATCTTCTATATATGTTTATGGGTTATATGTAGATTCAGTGCCTTAATTTTAAGTGTTGTTTTAAAACCGAAGATTTTATATTTCTAGTGCTTTTGTGAGTGTTTGTTTAGCTTATGATTCTCCATTTTGGATTGTTGCCTATGTATGAAAACAACATGAAAGTAACATATCTTTGCATTACAAACAAAACAAGATGTCGTTTGGAGAGCTTTTTGATCGATGGTTACACCAAATGAGTAAATACTATAAAGGTGTGTTTCAGTTTATGCAAGTTTTATTCACTAGTTAGCCTCCTCCTTGACATTCCCATCCCAATCTGACATTGAAACTGAACTTTGTATAACTGACATATCTTTGTAAAAGTTCCGTAACTTTACAAAAGAAAAGTTCATTGTCGTGCCTATCTCACTATATTTGTGGGTCACAAGTGATGCAGATAAATATTTGGAATATTTTCAAATATCTTATAATTTATTTTAATAATTATTTAGATAACTGTCTTTATTATTTTAGGGTTTTCTAGGGTTTTATGTTTTTCTTATATATAGCCGTTTAGGCTTGAAAGTTGTATGCAGTTTATGATTTGATTAATAAAATTGAGAGTTCTCTCTCTTTGTTCCTTGTTTTCGATAGATCATTAGTGATCTCAACGAATTTAAGAAGACATTGATCTTAGGCATTCTTAGACTAAATAAGATCTTTATGATTATCATAGTTTTCCGGGTATTCTCAGAATCAACAGATCACTATTCCTATCCATAAAAGCTTCCGCGACATCAGTTGGTATCAGAGCTGACGTTTTGGTTTCTTAATCAAAACTCGATTCTGGAATCATGGAGAATTTGTTTGTGGAGAGTGAAGAAACCGTTTATATAGAGATTACTGGAGATCCAGTTTACGATATTTATGATGATGATTACGAACACTTCATCATATATAAAGTATCGCAAGACATCACCGTGCATCATGACGTCCAGCAATCCAACTCAACCAATCCCATAAAAGGTAGTGTGCTTGTGATACGTATGGCATATTGTGCTCTAATACAATCACATCACGTGATGTCGTATGGCAACAAAGCAAATATCCAAGAGGTTACGTGTATTGTTGGTGACTTGTTTGTGAAGACAACAAGATGATTAAATACATGGACAAAAATAATTTGTTCTGTATTTTGTTTTTGTTGATGCAGATAAATATTTGGAATATTTCCAAATATGTTATAATTTATTTTAATAATTATTTAGATAATTGTCTTTATTATTTTAGGATTTTCTAGGGTTTTATGTTTTTCTTATATATAGTCGTTTAGGCTTGAAAGTTGTATGCAGTTTATGATTTGATTAATAAAATTGAGAGTTCTCTCTTTGTTCCTTGTTTTCGGTAAATCATTGGGGATCAACGAATTTAAGAAGACATTGATCTTAGGCATTCTTAGACTAAATAAGATCTTTGTGATTATCATAGTTTTCCCAGTATTCTCAGAATCAACGGATCACTATTCCTATCCATAAAAGCTTCCGCTACATCAGTTGGTATCAGAGCTGCGTTCCTTTGGTTTCTCAATCAAAGACGATTCTGGATGTCATAGTGAATATTAGCATCTATCCTATCCTGGACGAAAGTCCTTTTGTTGAGAGAGAAGAGAACCATGAGATCTATCGAGAGATATATGGTGATCCAATCTATGATATATATGAAGACGATGTCCATCCTATTGACTTTGTTTTCAAAGAGGGTTCCTATGAAAATTCACGTGCAAAGTTAGGGCGAAATCATATTGATGAAGATTTGATGCGTGCAAATTTTGTGCAAAAACGAATTTTTTAAGATTCAAGATATAATCAGATCCGTGCAAAAATCGTGCAGTGTCAAGTTTTTGGAAAATTTCTGGAGATTCTGAGATGTGCGAAATTCGTGCAGATTTCTGATATTCTTATGCCAAGAACGATATTGAAGATTCGAGGAAGAGTTTTTCTTGGAAAACATTTTGGATCCAAAGATTACGATCAAGATTCGAGGACGAATCTTCTCCAACCCGGAGAGAATGATGTAGATAAATATTTGGGATATTTCCAAATATTTATTATTTATTTTATTAGTTATTTTAGATAATTATCTTTATTGTTTTAGGGTTTTATGGTTTTCATATATATATGCTTCTTATGCCTAGAGTTGTATTCAGTTGATTGATAATTAATAAAATGAGTTTTCCTAAAGAGGTTTCTATAAACCACTGAGAAGAGTATTCTCAAACCCTAAGAGCTTTTAATTAAGCACTGTGAAGAGTATTCACAAACCCTAGTTTCCAGGTATTCTTAGAATCAACGGATCTAGTTCTATCCCTAGAAGCTTCCGCTACATCAACAAGCAAGAAAAGATATAGCCAAAGAGCTCGATAATGGGAGAGTTTTTAACCTGGCTTAGACATATCATTACTGCTCTTTTACCATAAAAGTATGATGTTCTGAATCACAACCTCTGTATGTATCTGTGCTAAGCCGCTTCTTATTACCTTCTCTTGTGATTAGTAAAGCATCTACCTTGTGAAGGAGCTGTTGGTTGATGGCGAGGCGACTGTTGAGTTGTGAATACGTTGCGCCTTGAGTACCTCCGGGTAGATCCTCTTGGTCGACGGAGGTTGCGATGATATCGTCTGCTCGAACGCTGCAATGTAGGCAGTAGAAAAAGTTATCTTCTTCAAAGGCTCGCATCCCCTGACTGCCTCCATGAATGAATTAGAAGTAAGTTGAAAACTCTAATAAATGAGAGGTGTATGGTGAAGGAGAAGATGAAGAAAGGCGTTAAAACTTGGGCTAGTAGTGTCTCCACAGTAAACTAGCTACAAATTACAAAAGACTCTGTGTATTTATTAGTTTTTAAAAATATAAATTTGTATTTAAATACAATATACTAGGTGTTTTCTGAGCAGTGCGGATGTAATAATTTTTAAAACATTTATAAATGAATATATTATCATTTTAACCACAAACAAGCTATTATTTATATGTTTAATATATTTAATAATAAAACAAAAAAAATAAATTCTTTATATATACAACAATTTCATCTGATAATTAAAACTTGTTATTACGTGAAATAAATATGAAATACTCATGCGGTTGAAATATTTAGATTTCAGTATAATAAAATTATCTCTTATATATGTAAAATAAACATGAAAACACTCCTATATGCATAAAAGTATGTAAATATATATATATATATATATATATATATATATATATATATATATATTTAAAAAATAAAAAAAATCTGATGTAAAGTAATCTTTTAAATAACATAATATTATGAAATTCATTTTTAATTTATGATTGATTATATATTAACAAATTTACTTATTAATTAAGGTCAATAAAGACTTTATAGAACAATATAAGATATTTTTAGATGATTATAATTATTAAAACAGAAATTCGTTTTTAACTTATGGTTAATTATATATTTAAAATAATTATTCTTTAAAGGTATTAAATATTTTACCCACTCTAATTTTTAACGTGAGAGCTTAGAGGCAAAAATTTACTTCTCAAATAATAGTATAGGCTGTACATAGCTAAAATAGAAAATATATTAGAATAAATAATAAAATATTAAATTGGATACAAAATTTGAAATAATTTTTAATTTAACGGATTTTTATTTTGACATAAAATATATAAAACAAATATTAAAAATAATTAAAATTATCTGATAAATATTAACTTTTAAATTAAAATTATTTGTTTCTACACGAACGAAATGTCTTTGACTACAAATCTTAACAAATTTAATATGTTAAAAATTACATTAATTATATGAATCACATTATAACGTCAATAAACGACTTATAAGTGTTTTGTTGTTAACACATGCTAATGTTTTTTTTTTCTTTTTGAGACAAACACATGCTAATGTTTTGACATGTTCTTACATATTATCAGTTGTATATCTTGTATATCACATATTCGTGTTCTATCCTTTTGGATGTGTGTTATGGTCTATTTTCCTGAGTTGGGTTGACATATACCTCATCCGATGTTAACGAATTTCAAGTTTGATAAAATTTTGTGGATATTAGAATTATGTTGCTAATGTTAGTAACATAACATATTAGATCATGGATATTGTCACATGATTTATATAGTTGAATATATTACTTCTATTTAGATGTGTGATTATATGATTGCATTTGTTCACCTATGTTTTTTCCTATTTAATAACATTATAATTTATTATCTTGTTAGATAGAAAAAATGATTGTCACTTACAAGCAAGTTCGTTAATTGTCTATCCATATGAACTATTTGGATGGAGAAGAAATTTGATGTTTGTTCTCTGTTAAAATGAGCATAATCCAAATGATTGATTCATAGTTTCAGAATTTTGAATTTAAAAGAGATTCATCTAGATGACTCATATGGATGAATCTAATTGATATATTTTTGGAGGGAGATCAACCCTGTCTAAAATAACAAATGATAAATTTACCAGGAATTAAATAAAACAATTATATTCAAGTTTTATACAAAAAATAATCATAATAGAAATCATATTTTTCACCCAAAATTGCAAAATTACATTTTTACGCCAAAACTGCACTATTACATTTTTTACGCCAAAACCAAAAAATCACATTTTCTCAAAAAATCTGAATATTATATTTTCTATTAAAACCTTCAAACTACGTTTTCCTTCCATAACGTCAAATCATTTTTCCCATCAAAACTGTAAAATGCATTTTTTTACTTAAACTACAAAATTTCATTTTTCCGCCACCACAAATTATATTTTATCACCAAATTCTCAAATAAATCATCTCCCCCATCAAAACCGTAAAGTTAAGATGTCCCACCAAAACTGTGAAATTAGATTTCTCACCAAATTGATAAAAATGCATTTTTCAGTAAAACACAAAATCACATTTTCCGCCTAAATCAAGGAATAAAA